GACAAACTTGTTTTTTTTCTTTTTCTTTTTGACAAATTTGGTGTTTATCTGGCAGGTATCAGCAGCTATGGAGCCCCTTCAGGCAGCTTTATCTCTCTGTGGGGATGACTTACACTCCCTCCACCTGCTCACCCTGCTGCTCAGTGCCCAGAAACACCACCGTCATGCTCTGGACACCCTTACTTTGGCCCTCGGCCAGCACCCTGACAACTTCAAGTAAAACCTACTATGCCATCCCACACACGCACATGCACACACGTACGCAACAGAAAATGTTGGTGGACTGAGGATAACTCAATCGATCGCTGCACTTCCAACACTTTGTAGATTGTTTTTTAAGTGTGTGTGTAAGAGAGCTCCAGAGAGTGGTGCAGCCAGGTTCTATCCTAACACCAGTCCTCTCCGTAGGGATAGGGTGTCTGCTCCGCTACACAAAAGGCCAAGCACACACACACCACACACACACACACACACACACACACTTGAAGCCTTATTTAGACGTGCCAGAGTGGAAGTCTGCATTGCGGTACCGATGCCCCTCATACACCCTTACCCTTTTAACACTGCAGCTCTGACCCAGACCTAAGCGCTGCTGTCCTGGCTGAGCTTAGACATCCTAACACATAAACCCACCTGTCTGCTACGCTAAGCACACACACTTTGACAATTACAAAAAAAGTGAACTCATTTGTGCATGGAGGAAAGTAGTGATGTGAAAGGAAAGGTTTAAGGGCTTGAACCTTTGACCTTTGGCTTCAGGGCTGGTATTACTAACAATTTCTTCACCTTTGTGCAGAATCATATTCAACCAAGACTTTTAAAGTATACCAGAGTTAATAGATAAAGTATTGTAGTAGGCAAAGTACGCAAGATCATGAGTATGAGAAAGTGATAAGAAAGATTTTTAATTAGAATCCGGTTTGATTGGAACGCATTTGAAGCAGGTTGGTTGCAGCATGAGCCCATAGCTCTGGTTTCTTTCCTAACAGTATTTCACGCACATAATTCTAGTCATCCGGCACAAAAACATCTAAAAAAAAAACATGCTCATTAGCAGTGGAAAAAGCTCTATTGTATCTGACACTGACAACATTAACTATCAAGGCCAATTATTTCACACTAACAATAATTTGGAAGCATGTTGCATCATCTTTCTGATGTGTTTTCTTTCTATCTCAAAGCCCAGTCAAGCATTACAGAGTACAGCCATTTGGGGTCAGTGTTGGCCTCCACGGTTGCAGAGCAGACAGATGGGGTGCATCCATAGATCAGGAGGGAGAGGAAATGCAGACAAGAAAAAAAACAACAAAACTGATCAAACAGCGAAAGGAAGGAAGGACACGAGAGCCTGACAGAAGGAGAAAAACACAGAGTGGGAGGATCCAGGAAAGACACTGTTGATTACAGAACTGATTTACCGATCTGTGCTGTAGGTACAGTCGGTAGCTCGCATGCGTTCTCTCACTGTCTCGATGCACAATCACACACTCTTAGACACACACACCTCCTTCGCAGAGACACTTGACTGCTTTGACCCATTTAAGAGCTCTTTTCCGGGCTCAGCCAATCACATCACTCTCTGCGCCAGGAATCCCCATCGCCCCGGTAACCATGAGGTCATATGGATAGAGCAGGCAGCATCATTGTTGTTTCCAAACTGTTGTTACAGATCACAACCAAGACACTGAGTCAGAAAAAAAGGAAAGAAAAAAGGAAACATATCTTTTTATTGGTAGTTTCCTGAAAGGAACAAATGAATCATTAATCGAGGTTTACCAGATGTATTATTTATTGTTACCTGTAATAATAATTTACTGTCAAGTCAGTAATACACATTGAAACTAAGCCATCAGATTAGTGGAGAGAGAGTGGCATACAGTAGCGATGTGAATAGGCTGGCTCTACTTGCTTAAGCCCAAACTATTAGCCAATCAATAATCATGAACCGCATAATAGCTTACAAAACATTATAGCTAAAGTGATAGCTGGTCTAAGTTGGATTACAAAAATAAAGTTATGAGCAGGGCACTGGTGAATTTTTTTTTTTTTTGCATTAGCTTTATACTGAAAGATTTTCTAGTGTCAGTGTGTTCCCTTCTGCATCTCCCTCAGCTGCTCTCTTAGCAGCAGCAGCTAGCAGCTGATTAGCTTCTTGATATCCTCTCTCGTATCCTATTTTTATTCGCAGTAGCTGTTTTTAGGTTTTTTTAAGGGATGTATATGAAGCCAGTCAGATGAAGTGGAGCATTTTGGCAGCTTATGATGAAGTAGGTGGAGACCAAAAAAAGAGCCAAAAGAAGAGTCACCAGAAGTGCAACTCAAAATGCTAGTTGCTAGCTGCTAGTATCTGCCTCAATC